TAAACGTTGAAAAAAAAAATTAAAAAAAAAAAAACAGGTTCCTGGGCCCTCACCCAGGCCCACTGAATCGGAACCACTCCCTAAGCTCTCCGAAGCTTAAGAATCAAGAACTAGGACAGCAGCCTGCTGATTCGGGCTTGGGGGGATCAGAGCACATCAGAGAGACGTGCTAGGGCCACGGCTAGGGTTCTCAGAGTTAACAAACAAAAACAAGAGGCCTGGCTACTTTGAGTTTCAAACAGTAAATATTTTAGTATAAGTATGTCCCAGTACTACATGAGATATACTTATGCTAATTCTTATTTTCATGCCAATAGTCATTGTTTTTATGCTAGCATTTAATTTTTAGTATGAGTATGTCCCGTGCAATATTTAGGATATACTTATGTGAAAACATGTTTTGTTTACCTGATATTCAAACATAAGTGGGCATCCTGTATTTCACCTGGCAACCCCATGCATGGGCCCCCCGAGCAGCTAGGGGCACTGGCAGTCTAAGCCCTTCTCCTGGGTGGGGGAGGGAGGAACGGCAGGGGAGGGACTCACTGCAGGTGATGGAAGTATTGTTCTCGATGGTGTATTCATAGTGGTCCACATAGGGGTGGCAGCCCAGGTCGAAGAGCTTCTGGTAGCAGCAGTCATGGGCGTGGCAGCACCTAGGGGCAGGTAGAGGACAGCAGGCCCACATAGCCAAGCTTGGCCCATCTCCCACCGGCAGAGACCCCAGTCATCTGTTTCGGTTCCTTGTGGATCAGACCTTCAGACTGAGGCCCAGAGAGGGGCAGTTACTTGTCTGAGGTCACATAGCCAGGCAGAGCCCAGCTTCCCCCCTTGGAGCCCTGGCTGCAGGAGGCAGGAGGTGGGAGGCGTCAGGCTGTCCGATGATGTGGTCAGGATGGGAAGGAGGGTTAGGACTAAGTTGGTGTCAAAGGAGCCTGAGCCTATGAGGAGGCCATGCCCGGCTGGGCACGATGGCCAGGGAGAGACAAAAGTCTGGAGGGTTGAGTGGGCATTGGGGGTGGGAGACAGGAAGCAAGTGTAGTGTGGCCATCCCCATCCCCTCTGGTAGAGGAAGGCAATTAGTCAACATGCATTTATTAAGCCCCCCCGTGATACCAGACTTAGCGCTGGCTGCTTTTGGGGAGATAGGAGCAGAAAGTTAAGCCATGGCTTCAGTCTTCAGTCTGATGGAAGAAACACAGCCCTCCATCAGGGCCTCTAGGGTGATGGGAGTGAGAAGGGTCACAGCCCTTGCTCGTGTTGAGCATGAGCTGTGCGTCTGTTGCTCTCACGTGTGTGGGGGCAGGTCAAAGTTTCCTTCCTGGCGAGACTGGGAGTTCAAACGCCTCCAAGCCCAAGACTTGGAGATGCACAGTAGAAACCACCCAAGACAGTAGAGGAGGACATGGGTCAAGGTCAGGCTCTTGGTCACAAACTCATTGAACCAGCTTCATCCTTTGGGGAAAGGACCCTCTCCCATGTCTCAGAAATGGAGACCAGTCTGACCCTCACTGCCCCCCTCCCAGGCCTGACAGTGGCCCAGGCACTCCGGAACCTACCAGTCCACCTCATCCATGGGCAGCCCGTGCCCTCCTAGTCCACAGTAGCAGCCGTAGCCCACGAAGGACAAGATGGCACTCCTCCCTGTGATGGTTTCCACCATGGACTTCAGGTTAAGCAGGCTGCTGCGGGCCGCGGGCAGGACTGCAAGAGAACCAAGGGGGTGCTGTGAGCTCCCTGCCTGGTGGGGGGCCCCCTCCTGTCTGACTGTCCTCCCCACACCCCAAGGCCAGGGAAAGGAGGAGAGAGGGTGGGCAGAGAGGGAGGAAGGAAGCAATGTATAAAAAGCCATGATATCTGAGGGCCCTTAGAAGGAAATAGCTATTACTCTTTACTGAGGGCTTCTCTGTGCCAGGTGCTGTCCTGAGCCCCTTCCAGGCATTAACTCATGGAGTGCTATTGTTGCCCCCACTTTACAGATGAGAAGACTGAGGCCCAGAGCTTACCCAAGTAACTTCCCCAAGAACATCATCAAAAAAGTGGTAGGGGTGGAATTTGCACCCAGGCAGTGAGGTCCCAAGTGACCGATCCACCGTAAAGGGCTTCAGAAATGCCACGTGCTCTTGTGAACACAGGGGTTTGATTTTGGGTACTGGGCTTGGTCTGGCTCCTCTGCCCCCAGTAGGAACTCAGTGTCCCCAGCGCGGTCCTGCAGCTCGGGCATCTCACGATGAATCCAGAGACAACGCGGTGGTCCGGTCATTCGGCGAAGACAGACAGACACACACACACACACACACACACACCCTTTCCCTTTGGCCATGTCTCACCGGAAGCAATAGGTCAATGACCCCCTTCCCACACCAGCAAAATCAGCAGCCTCCCCGCACCTGCCAGGTGGGTCTGCCCCAGCGACATACCCTCCTCTCCCCTCCTCCCTGCCTCTTCACCCCGGCCTGTGTTGACTCTACATCTGCTCCTGGCTCCCTGCTGAGTCACTCCGGGGCCTGGGGCTCCAGTCCGTACTGGGTGAGGCCAACCCACACACGGAAGAGCCGCTCTAGCCCCACTTAATGGGCCTTGGGAATCCCGCTCCACCTGAGCCTTCCCGTTTATTGGCTTTGTGACTTTCATCATTACAGAAAATAAGGAGCAAATGAGAGAGGCAACAGGGAAGGAGCTGGGACAAATGACAGGCAACTCTAAGAGGATGGTGGAGAGAGAGGCACATGTCTCAGGTGGGGTCTGAGGCAGGGAGAGGGAGGACCCTGTGTCCAGTGGACCCAAGCCCATCCCTGAGCTGCACAAAGACGTGAGGGCCGTCGGTGGGAGTAGGACAAAGGGGACCTTAAGTGTGTCTCCCGACCCTTCCCCCACTCTGTGCTGGGTCCTGCAGCCGGAGGGAAATGTCAAGCAGCTTGGGAGTCAGATCTGGAATCAGACCTTGGGAGTCAAATGCAGACAGCCCTGGGTCCGCAAACAGGTCTCTCCACGAGGCCTGCGGTGACCACGCGGGCAGGTTGCATAAGCTCCTTGACCTCAACTGTCAAACCGGGGACAGGGACGGGGATGGGGCGGCGCCGCTCTCCTGCTGGGCACTGCAAGCAGAGGCTGTGAGGAGGGAGCACCCTCTGTGAGCTCTGGCCTCCCGCAGCCCAGCTGTGCAGGTGTTTCCCCCAGGGGACAGCTTCCCGCCCCAGGGCCCTCTGACCAGCAGCTGCACGCAGGGTGGGATGTTACCACGCGAGCCCTCCACACTCACACACGGGGATACACACTCGCCCACAGAGGCCTCGCACACCCGCACGCCACACACCCGCCAGTGGAACCACACTCACGCGTGCGGCGCCCACGGGGAACCCAGGGAGCCGAGGCCACGTCCACACTCGCACTCCAAGCAGAAGAAAGCGAGTCGGGCAGACGCCTTAGCGGCCAGCAGTTCGGGCGGAACTCAGAGGCTTGCTGTCTCAACACTCGCTTCAGCTGTCAGGTCAGCCAACCATTGTCACCTCTGGCCACGTTTAACCCTTATTTTGTGCCCAGCGGTTCTTTCTTTGCCCCAGAGCAGGCTGCGCTCCGGCGATATGCAACGGGCCAGATGAAGAGTCAGTGACACCTCTAGCCCAGCTTCCACCTCCCAGAGGCACCTGCCACAGAACACCTGGATGTGTGATGGGGTCACATCTGTGTCAGGAGCCTCAGCTGTCCCCGACCGGTGTTCCCCAGGAGCACAGGCCCTGGGAAAGGAGCCCCCAGACCTTCCTTGCTGATTTCTCGCACACTCACACAGACGGCCCTGGTATACACACACACACACACACGCACGTGCACCTGCAGTTAGTACACACTTACACATTTTTTGACGTGTGGAGGACACACAGACGTCACTGTGCTGAGACACAACCCCCCCCCCCACACA